GTGTGTGTGTGTGTCTGAGTGTGAGTATGGTGTCTGTCTCTTGTGTTTGAGGGTGGGAGTTAGGGAGTCAGATAGGGTGTGTTTGAGGGGACTCATCTCTCTCTCTCTCTCTCTATATATATATATATATATATATATATATATATATATATATATAATACAAGGCTTGTCAGTTAGCTGACTGATATTACCTTCAGAATCCCAACTCCAGAGATTCGTAGACAGAACCTTCCGGATAACTGTCCACTCGTCAGGGAGTGTCAGCAATTGACTGCTTGTACTTCTCGATTTTTCTTTTTTATATGCACTTTTCATTGGTTCATTTTTTTTCAATTTATTTTTTCATAGTGCATGCGTGCATGTGTGCATTCACACGCCCGTGTAGAATATCGTGATTATTTGTCCTTTTCGTTGTTTTCTTTTTACGTTATACTTATTCCTTATTGTTTTTTTACCTTTTCTCTTTTACCTCTTTTATTTCATTTTATATATATATATATATATATATATATATATATATATGTTTTAAACTTGGGAAGGTTACTGAATACAATAATCACACGAAGTTTGGTAATGAACGATAATACTTAGGACAAGAACAACACATATAAGATTCGCCAGCGTAGCGTAGAAGTAGTTAATTGTTAGAAATGAGTCAAGTCAATTCCACATTGAAGCACCAACTGCAGGATATCTACCAACCGCCCCACGCGGTCAGGTGTGGCACAAAGCCGAATTTAATGTTGGGTATCCGAGCCCTCGAGGTCGACGTGGAATTTATCCGAACCCACGAGGTCTACGGAGAATTCCCCGTAGACCTCGTATAAAATGCAGTCGAATAGGTGGTTCCCAAGACGAGGCTATGTCGAAGGACAGAGAGTTTGACCAGCACAACTGGAGACGAATCTCCAACGGCAGGTTATTTACCAACCGCTTCTCGCGGCCAGATGTGGCGCAAGGCTGATTTTAATGTGGGGTATCTGAGCCGGTAGGGTCGGCCAAAATTTCCCCGTAGATCCCGTATAAAACGGGGTCGAGTAGGGGTTTCCTGAGACGAGACTCCGCCCTTTGACAGAGACTCGTCTAGGGATCCTCTCCGCCCGCACAGCACAGCACAGCTAGAGACGAATCTCCAACTGCAGACCAACATACAGTAATTACAACAGTATTAATGTGAATGGAGACATGCCCATTATCGTCCGTAGGTATGCTACAATATATATATATATATATATATATATATAACCCGGATATATAGAGAGTTGTCGGGATCGAAGAAGTTCTCAGGATCCGGGATTTCTCTTATATCCGGGTTTGGTCTATATGTATACATTAACATAGGCTCTAATTTGGGACCAGATAAAATCTCTTATATCCGGTTTCTCTTTCTCTTATATCCACTATATCTCTTATATCCGGGTTATATATATATATATATATCGGCTCTGATTGCGAAATCAGAGAGCTGAGTTCGAATTCTAGTCGAATTCATTACATTACGTGTTAATCTCTTTGGGATAGGTATTAATCCTCTTTTCCCCCAACTATGGGTAAATAGCAGGACAGACCGGGCTCTATAGTCTTGGATGGCAACTGGTCTACCGCAGAAATAAATGGCAACCTACTGCGCGAAAAAATCTGCCTCGTCAGTCATGTATTGAAAGATACCTAAGCGTGTTCACCCATGGCACATAACTGACTGATTTTAATAGGTGGTGGCACTATACACAGGTAATTGTTTTGACGGGGTTTCGGAGGCCAGTTGCACTATATGCATGTACATATTTTTTTTCTGGAGGATTTAAAATTCATGCTAAAAAATAGGGGTCACAATATACACGAAAATCAACTTACGAGTAGAAACGGTATATGTAAAATAGTTTAATCTGTTATGTTTTCAATTATAGTGAAAGGTCATGATAAAGCCTGAATTGTTATTTTCCATTAATCAAATTTTTAGTTTAGTTTAATGTTCAGCAAATATTGAGCAAGAAGAAAGTAAAGTATTCGTAATTATACAAGTATATTTCAATTGCAGAATTATTATTTTCATAAAATTTTGATGACAAATAGTAATAATAATCATAATAAGGAAAATAAGGAAGAATATATAAACACGAAAGAGATGGTTTACGAAAACAGCGCACACGAAGCATTAGTCATTTATCGTGATGAGTTTGACCAGAATTACGAATTAAAAAATGTAGTTGTAATTAAAACAGTAAGTAATTTATTAAGACGGAAATGTATAGAAAGTGCATTACTTTCTGAGCTATCAACGGTACACATACAACATTTCATCTTTCTTAAGAAAAACGATGACATTTTAATGTGGTATATCTAAACACAACAGTGATAGACGCTAACAAAACGAAAGCGACAAAGAGCTATATAAAGTCGATTCGACGCCAGGAATTTAAAATTAAAATTTAAATTTAAAAAGCGTTTCTACTTCGCCAGCATTTCTCGCGATGTTTAATTATAACCAACGTTTGTTTATATATCCCCCCTTACCTTGTATATTTATAATTGCATCAATAAAAATATTTAATCTTACGAAGTCCTTTTAAATAACGAGTCGCCTTACACATTTTTTTCATTGCGTCATTCAGTTACCCCCCGTAACGTTGCATCAACGATTATGAACAGAAGAAGAAGAAGAAGAAGAAGAAGAATAGAAGGAAGAGAGAGATAAAAATGGTTATGAATAGAAAGAAGATGAAAAAGATGAAGAAGTAGATTATGCATAAAAGAAAAGGATAGAGAAAAAGAGTGAGTGAGAGAGAGAGAACGGTCTAAAAGAGGAAGAAAAAGATGATGAAGAAGAAGAAAAGATGAAGATGATGAAGAAGAAATAGATCATGTATAAAAGGAAGGGAGAGTGAAAAAGAGAGAGAAAGATCTAAGAAGAAGAAAAGGAAGAAGAAGAATAGACGGAAGAGAGTGATAAAGAAGAGTATGAATAGAAAAAAGATAAAAATAATGAAGAAGAAGTAGATTCTGCATAAAAGGAAGGGAGAGAAAAAAGAGAGAATGATCTACAGAGAGTAAGAATAATGAAGAAGAAGAAGAAGAAGAAATAGATGAAGGCGAAGAAGAAGGAGGTGGAGGAGGAGGAGAAGAAGAAGAAGAAGAAGAAGATGAAGGCGAAGAAGAAGGAGGTGGAGGAGGAGGAGGAGAAGAAGAAGAAGAAGAAGAAGAAGAAATAGATGAAGGCGAAGAAGAAGGAGGAGGAGGAGGAGGAGGAGAAGAAGAAGAAGAAGAAGAAATAGATGAAGGCGAAGAAGAAGGAGGTGGAGGAGGAGAAGAAGAAGAAGAAGAAGAAGAAGAAGAAGAAGAAGAAGAAATAGATGAAGGCGAAGAAGAAGGAGGTGGAGGAGGAGGAGGAGAAGAAGAAGAAGAAGAAGAAGAAGAAGAAGAAGAATATAAGGAAGAGAGAGATATAAAAAACAGTATGATTAGAAAGAAGATGAAACCTATGAAGAAGATGCAGAAAAAGGAAGAGAGGAGAAAAGAGAGAGAGAAAGAGAGAAGAAGAAGACGATTATTAATAGAAGGAAGAGAGAGCTAAGCAAAAAGAGTATGAATAAAAAGAAGATTAGAAAGACTAAGCCTTAAAGGAAGAGAAAGAAAAAGAGAGAGAGAGAACTATTTATAAAGTGTAAGAATAAAAAGAAAAAGAAGCTTATGAATAGAAGGAAAAGCGAGATAAAAAAAAGTGTATGAATATAAAGAATATGAAAGGATTGAAGAAGTCGATTATGCATAAAATGAAGAGAGAGAAAGAGAAAGAGAGAGAGAGAATAGGGGAGAGAAAGAATGATCTACAAATAGTAAGAATTGAAGGAGGAGGAGGATGTGGAGGAGGAGGAGGAGGAGGAGGAGAAGAAGAAGAAGAAGATCATAAATATTAGGAACAGAAAGATCAATAAAGATAAACAAAAAGGATATTAATAGAAAAAAGAAGGAAAATAATAAAGAAGTAGATTAGGCGTAAAAGGATGGAACAGAGAAAAAGAGAGGACGATCTTCAAAGAAGAAGAAGAAGAAGAAGAAGAAGAAGAAGAGATATTAATTATGCAACAAACTGTTGTCGCAAAATGTCCGACAATACTGAAGACAGCAGACGTAATGTGCATGCGCGGTTTTGATTTAATTTACGAATTAAGAACGCTAGACAAACCAAGTGAAAAGACGAAACAATAAAGAGATTTAATTGTGGAGTATGGCGCTTACTGCTATTTGAAGAATTTTTTTTAATAGTTCCAAACGAAAGGCCAATGTTTCGGAATTAAGACTAAGTGGGGGAAATTTGAAAGAGAAAAATAGGAAAGAAAATGAAAAGAAAGAAAAAGTATGAAGAACTTGAGTAGATTTTACTAGCATAAAAATGGAAACAACGAAAAAGAAAGAAGCAAAAATAGACATTGATTAACTGTATATGAAAAAAAAGAACAACGAGAAAAGAATAAGCAACAACAAAAAAGCTTAAAAAAAGAAAGAAAGGAAATGAAACAAGCAGTCGAATAAATGTGAATCAATTACGTAATAATGAAGGAAAAAAAGAAAGAGTAAATGAAACAAATGAAGAACGAAGTTGAATAAGTGTGAATAATTGAATAATGAAGAAAAAAGAAATTAAAAAAGAGAAATGAAGATCTTGAGAAAATCTAAAAGAAAAAAAATGATGAAATTAAATAAAAAGTAAAAAGAAAGTAAGAAAGAAAAAGAAATGAAGAAGTTGAATAAATATAAGAAAACGAAAATTAATAAAGAAAAAGAAAGAAAGAACGAATGCATCGTTAAGGTTAGAAAAAGAAAAAGAAAAGAAAAAAATGAAAAAAATTGGGAAATATGAATCAATGGAAAAGTAAGAAGAAAAAAACAACAATAAATAATAAGAAAAGAAGGTTAAAAAAAAGAAATTGATTCAGTAAAAATAAATCAGAGAATAACAAAGAAGAAAAAAAACAAAGAAAAAAGGAACACTGAAAGAATGAATGATTGGCACTAAACTATTTTCATATTTTTTACAAGATTCCGCTAATCATTGGAATAATTCTATTCGCTTTTCTTTAAACATTTTCTTCTTATTCAAAATTTTCTTGCTCTTTTTTTCTTTTTTGTACTCGATTTTCTTGCTTTCTCTTTTTATTACTCAGTACTCGATTTTTTGCTTTCTCTTTTTTCAGTACTCGATTTTCTTTTTTTATTACTCAGTACTCGATTTTCTTCCTTTCTTTTTTATTACTCAGTACTCGATTTTCTTGCTTTCTCTTTTTTTAGTACTCGATTTTCTTCCTTTTCTTTTATTACATAGTACTCGATTTTCTTCCTTTCTCTTTTATTAAATAGTACTCGATTTTCTTCTTTTTTATTACATAGTCGATTTTCTTGCTTTCTCTTTTTTTCCTCGATTTTCTTTTTCTATTTTTATTACTCAGTACTCGATTTTTCTTGTAATCTTTTTTTCTACTCGATTTTCTCTTTTATTTTATTACATAGTAGATTTTCTTGCCTTTTTCTTTTTATTACTTAGTACTCGATTTTTTTTTTCTTTTTATTCTTTTTTATTGCTTTTTCTCTTTTTATTACTCAGTACTCGATTTTTCTTGCTTTCTCTTTTTATTATTTCGATTTTCTTTCTCTTTTTTATTACATAGTTCGATTTTTTTTTCTCTTTTATTTAGTACTCGATTTTCTTGCTTTCTCTTTTTTATTTTCGATTTTTCCTTTCTCTTTTTATTACTTAGTACTCGATTTTTTTTTCTCTTTTTATTACATAGTACTCGATTTTCTTGCTCTTCTTTTTATTACTAGTACTCGATTTTCTTGCTTCTCTTTTATTACTCAGTACTCGATTTTTTGCTTTCTTTTTTATTACTCAGTACTCGATTTTCTTGCTCTCTCTTTTTATTACTCAGTACTCGATTTTTTGCTTTCCTTTTTTATTACTCAGTAATCGATTTTTTTGCTTTCTCTTTTTATTACTCAGTAATCGATTTTCTTGCTTTCTCTTTTTATTACTCAGTATTCGATTTTTTCTTTTCTCTTTTTTTCTTTTTTATTACTCAGTAATCGATTTTTTCTTTCTCTTTTTTTTTAGTAATTATTTTCTTGATTTTATTACTCAGTATTCGATTTTCTTCTCTTTTTTATTACTCTTTTTTTTTACTACGATTTTCTTTCCTTTCTCTTTTTATTACATAGTACTCGATTTTCTTGCTTTCTTTTTTTTTTACTCTCAGTAACTTTTTATTTACTCGATTTTCTTGCTTTTTTTATTACTCAGTACTCGATTTTCTTCCTTTCTCTTTTTTATTACTTAGTACTCGATTTTCTTGCTTTCTCTTTTTATTACTCAGTACTCTTTTTATTATTTTCGATTTTCTTGCTTTCTTTTTTATTACTTCAGTACTCGATTTTTTTCTTGCTTTCTTTTTATTTTACTCGATTTTCTTGCTTTTCTTTTTATTTTCGATTTTCTTCCTTTCTCTTTTAACTCAGTACTCGATTTTCCTTTCTCTTTTTATTACATAGTACTCGATTTTCTTTTTCTTGCTTTCTCGATTTTTTTCCTTTCTTTTTATTACTCAGTACTCGATTTTCTTGCTTTCCCTTTTTATTACTCAGTACTCGATTTTCTTCCTTTCTCTTTTTATTACTCAGTACTCGATTTTCTTGCTTTCTCTTTTTTATTGTTATTGATTTTCTTCCTTTCTCTTTTTATTACATAGTACTCGATTTTCTTCCTTTCTCTTTTTATTACATAGTACTCGATTTTCTTGCTTTCCTTTTTTATTACTCAGTAATCAATTTTCTTGCTCTCTCGTATTATTACTCAGTACTCGATTTTCTTGCTTTCTCTTTTTATTACTCAGTACTCGATTTTCTTCCTTTCTCTTTTTATTACATAGTACTCGATTTTCTTCCTTTCTCTTTTTTACTCATAGTGCTCGATTTTCTTCCTTTCTCTTTTTTACTTTTTTTCTTTTTTTTACATAGTACTCGATTTTCTTCTTTCTCTTTTTTTTTTAGTACTCGATTTTCTTCCTTTTTTTATTACTTAGTACTCGATTTTCTTTCTCTTCTTTTTTTTTACTAGTACTCGATTTTCCTTTCTCTTTTTATTACTCAGTACTCGATTTTTTGCTTTCTCTTTTTTATTTAGTACTCGATTTTCTTCTTTTTTTTTTTTACTCATTACTTCGATTTTCTTGCTTTCTCTTTTTATTTCTTTTTCTTTCTCTTTTTATTACTCAGTACTCGATTTTTTCTTTCTCTTTTTATTTTTCTTTTTTGCTTTCTCTTTTTATTACTCAGTAATCGATTTTCTTGCTTTCTCTTTTTATTACTAGTCTGATTTTTTTACTTTCCTCTTTTTATTACTCAGTTTTCGATTTTTCTTCCTTTTTTTTTAGTACTCGATTTTCTTCCTCTCTCTTTTATTACATAGTACTCGATTTTCTTCTTTTTTTTATTACTCAGTATTTTTTCTTTTTTTATTACTCAGTACTCGATTTTCTTGCTTTCTTTTTTATTACTCAGTAATCGATTTTCTTCCTTTTCTTTTTTTATTTACTCGATTTTCTTCCTTTCTTTTTATTACATAGTACTCGATTTTCTTCCTTTTCTTTTTTATTACATAGTTCTCGATTTTCTTCCTTTCTCTTTTTTATTACATAGTACTCGATTTTCTTCCTTTCTTTTTTATTACATAGTACTCGATTTTCTTCCTTTTCTTTTTTTTTATTCGATTTTCTTGCTCTCTCTTTTTTATTACTCAGTACTCGATTTTCTTTTTTCTCTTTTATTACTCAGTACTCGATTTTTTTTCTTCTTTTTATTACTCAGTACTCGATTTTCTTCCTTCTCTCTTTTTATTACATAGTACTCGATTTTCTTGCTTTCTCTTTTTATTACATAGTACTCGATTTTCTTCCTTTCCTTTTTTATTACATAGTACTCGATTTTCTTTTCTCTTTTTTTTATTACTCAGTACTTTTTTTTTCTGCTTTTCTTTTTATTACTCAGTACTCGATTTTCTTGCTTTCTCTTTTTATTACTCAGTACTCGATTTTCTTGCTCTCTCTTTTTATTACTCAGTACTCGATTTTCTTGCTTTCTCTTTTTATTACTCAGTACTCGATTTTCTTGCTTTCTCTTTTTATTACTCAGTACTCGATTTTCTTTTTTTCATAGTACTTTTTCTTACTCTCTTTCGATTTTCTTGCTTTCTCTTTTTATTACTCAGTACTCGATTTTCTTGCTTTCTCTTTTTATTACTCAGTACTCGATTTTCTTGCTTTCTCTTTTTATTACTCAGTACTCGATTTTCTTGCTTTCTCTTTTTATTACTCAGTACTCGATTTTCTTGCTTTCTCTTTTTATTACTCAGTACTCGATTTTTCTTGCTTTTCTTTTTGCTTTACTCGATTTTTGCTCTCTCTTTTTATTACTCAGTACTCGATTTTCTTGCTCTCTCTTTTTATTACTCAGTACTCGATTTTCTTGCTTTCTCTTTTTATTACTCAGTACTCGATTTTCTTCCTTTCTCTTTTTATTACATAGTACTCGATTTTTTCTTTCTTTTTTTTTTTTTTAGTTTTCGATTTTTTCCTTTCTCTTTTTATTATAGTACTCGATTTTTCTTGCCTTTTTATTACATAGTACTCGATTTTCTTCCTTTCTCTTTTTTTACACTCAGTTTCGATTTTCTTCCTTTCTCTTTTTATTACATTAGTACTCGATTTTCTTGCTTTCTTTCTTTTTATTACTTTACTCGATTTTCTTGATTTTTCTTTCTCAGTACTCGATTTTCCCCTCTCGATTTTTTTCTTTTCTTTTTATTACTTTGATTTTTTGCTTTCTTTTTTATTACTGAGTACTCGATTTTTTGCTTTCTCTTTTATTACTCAGTTCGATTTTTTTACTTTCTTTTTATTACTCAGTACTCGATTTTCTTCCTTTCTCTTTTTATTACATAGTACTCGATTTTCTTGCTTTCCTTTTTATTACTCAGTACTCGATTTTCTTCTTCTCTTTTTATTTCAGTACTCGATTTTTTCTTTCTTTTTTTATTACTCAGTACTCGATTTTCTTCCTTTCTCTTTTAAAACTCGATTTTCTTCCTTTCTCTTTTTATTACATAGTACTCGATTTTCTTGCTTTCTCTTTTTATTACTCAGTACTCGATTTTCTTCCTTTCTCTTTTTATTACATAGTACTCGATTTTCTTCCTTTCTCTTTTTATTACATAGTACTCGATTTTCTTGCTTTCCTTTTTTTTTCTCGATGTTCTTTTTTCCTTTTTATTACTCAGTAATCGATTTTCTTGCTTTTCTCTTTTTTATCACTCAGTACTCGACTCTCTCTTTTTTATTTTTCGATTTTCTTGCTTTTTTTTATTTTCGATTTTTCTTGCTTTTCTTTTTATTTTCAGTCCGATTTTCTTTTTTTTTTTATTACCTCGATATTCTTACTTTTCTCTTTTTTATTACTCAGTACTCGATTTTCTTCCTTTTTTTTTCATTTCATAGTACTCGATTTTTTTGCTTTTCTTTTTATTACTCAGTAATCAATTTTTTTGCTTTTTTATCCTTCTCGATTTTTCTTATTCTCTTTTTTTCAGTACTCGATTTTCTTTTCATCAGTACTCGATTTTCTTGCTTTTTTTACTCGATTTTCTTCCTTTTCTTTTTTTTTAATAGCACTCGATTTTCTTTTTGCTTTTCTTTTTATTACTCAGTACTCGATTTTCTTGTCTCTCTTTTTATTACGCAGTACTCGATTTTCTTTGCTCTCTCTTTTTTATTACTCAGTACTCGATTTTCTTGCTCTCTCTTTTTATTACTCAGTACTCGATTTTCTTCCTTTCCCTTTTTATGACTTTCTTTACTCAGTACTTTCATTCTTCTCTTCATCTTATTTTTTTATTTTTTATTCACTTCTTTGTTTTCTTTTTCTTGCACTTCCCTTCTCACATTTTCTTTTATTTCCTCCTCGCTTTTCTTTCTCTTTTCCTTTCTTTCACCTTTCCCCTCATTTCTTCTTTGTCTCTATTTGTTTTTTTTCCTTTTTCCCTTTTCATGTTACACTTGTTTCACTCTCTCATCCTTCTTCTCTTTATGTCTCCCTTTCTTTATTCCTTGCCTTAAAACCTTTCTTTCTTTCTTTTGTTTTCAAATATCATATCTTCTCTCTCTTTTTTCTTTCTTTTCCGTCATTCTTTCTTTGTTTTTTCTTTCTTTCTCAACAGTCATCACTTTTTCTTTGTTTCGTTTCTTCATTTCTCCTTTCTTTCCCAACTGTCATATTTTCTTTCTTTCTTTCTTTCTTTCTTTCTTTCTTTCTTTCTTTCTTTCTTTTCCAACTATCATGTCTTTCTCATCCTTCTTTTTCTTTCTTTATTTTCTATCATTCTCTACTTTCGTTTTTCTCTTTTCCAAATATCATGTCTTTCTTTCTTTATTTCTTTTTCAATAGTTCCATTTTCTTTCTTTCTTTCTTTCTTTCTTTCTTTCTTTACAATAAGCTTTTCTTTCTTTTTTGTTTTCTAACGATCACGTCTTTCTTTCTATCTTTTTCCCCTTTCTTTCTCCCCTTTCTTTCCGACCTTTCAATCTTTCTTTCTTTCTTTCTTTCTTTTTTTCTTTTTTCGTATTCTTTATGTCACCCCAGTTAATTTGAACCTGATGACGTCCATAGACTTTGTATTTCGTGCACTGTTCTGATGATTTCCACTCTATTGAAATGCAGACCCCCAACACCCTGCCATGTCACTTCAGTGCATCTTATCGCCATCAAAACTGTCTTCCCGCCAACCTTCATCATGCCCATTACCAAAAGTACCTACATCGTAACTATCCCCAATAAAATATTTATTGTTTTTCACATTTACCATCATTATATTTTTCTTTTGAAGTCTAATCCTTGTTATAATTCTTTCATTATCAGTGACAACGCCTTCTTCTTATCGTTTCAGTATTCTTATAATACCCATCCATACCTGTGACAGCTAAATTTCAATCATTTTGCACGTGGTTCTTTCAATCTCCAGAGTCCAACTCCAAGCGAGATTTTTTAAGAAGGAAAAAAGAATCATTTATTTTCTGAAGTAGGCAACACGTTTATTTTTAGTCATTTCATCCCAAGCAAGGCAACAAAGCCACGAAGACGCAGGCGGTTACTAAGTGTGAAAGAATATAAGAAAAAAAACATTTGTAAGGAGGGAGAACAATAAAAGAACAGAAATTAAGAAAACAGAAGACATTGCATTTAATTCTTTGAAGATAAAACTCGACTGGAAAGCAAGAAGCCGGAAGAAAGTTCAACAAACGGGAGGTGCGCAAGAAGGATCTATTAGAATAGAACTTACGGCTACGTCTTGCCATTTAAACTGAAAGATGATAAGACCTGTCTACTTTTCAGGGCGCCTTAGTGCGCCTGGCCGCCCCGCTTGAGAAACGCTCTTCTTACTAATCATACGTGGTGCTTAAATTCATAGAATCTAGGTACCATAGAGAATCTAATAATCTTTCTACCATAGAGAACAATTACCATGAAAGTATTTATAGAAAATCAGAGGGAAACTCCGATACGGCGGTTGGAAAGTGAATGAAGATGATGACCTTGCAGTTAATGAAGCCAATGACCTTGCAGTTAATGAAGCCAATGACCTTGCAGATATTTCTTTAGATTCTATCAAGGAGCTCTAAATATATAGCAAGAACACCAGATCATATGTGATAGCAAAATTCGAAGCATGGACGAATGGTAGATTTGTAAATATGTATGATAGATTCTAGAAAGAAAAAATATCTAGCAAAACACAATGAACCAACTTTCCTAGTTGCAGATTTAGCAATTCGATATAATCTTTTAACTTCATGTCATCGTTACCACGAGAAAGCACAACGAGTCATTCCCCTAGAGTATAATTCTAGTTTATATATATATATATATATATATATATATATATATATATATATATATATATATATATATAGTTTCATGCAGTTAAGAATATATACTTATAGTTCTGTTTCATAACATAGAGCACTGTATTTATAACTCCTTAGGAATAAATACACTTACGTACGTGCGTGTATATACATCATTTTCCCTACCCATTATATATATATATATATATATATATATATGAGTGAACATTGAAGTCCACACTCAGAGGCGACAGGCTGTTTCATGATAGACCCAGTTGTCAGGCTGCCTGACGATTGCGTCTCGCATGAAATAGTCTGTCGCCTCTGAGTTTTGACTTCAATGTTCACTTTCGCTCTATCTCTGATATTGAGCACTTTATCCCATAAATATACCACACTTTGAAACTATATTTCTGCACCCCCTACCCACATATATATATATATATATATATATATATATATATATATATATATATATATATATATATATAATCACAGCATGAAACTCCGAGTTGTGCAATCAATGTAAGTTATTATGTATATTTTTTAATAGACAGAGACCACAATTTTGACATAAAAAATGGTACTCTAATCAATGGAATAATCAATTCATTACGATGAAAATGTCTAGAAAGTGCCTTGATCGCAAGGAAATCTACAATAATTTTGCGCCCGGGCTTTTACAACATTTCACCATTCCTGGCAGAACGTCTATTATCACAGTGTGCGATATGTACTAACAAAAGTGATGGAAACAAAAGAAAAAAAGAATCTAAATGAAATCGGCTAGGTTAAAAATAAAAACATTCCCAGCATCCCTCGTTCACGTGCATGTGTAGTCGCACCAACATAATAATTTTAGCACAATGAAATCCTAAAGTAAGAAACGCGACAAAAGAACTTTTTTCCACTTTGTCATATATTTTTCCCCAATATCGTTCTTGATATCTAATAATATATATATATATATATATATATATATATATATATATATATATATATATATATATATATTATAGTAAAAAAAAAAAAGAACAGTAAGATATATACTCCGGTGTTCTTATTGATATTTTTACTTTTACAAAACAGTGCTCAATGTAAACTTACACAGCTTAAATATTATAAATTACCTGATTTAAAAATATGGTTTCTTCACTACATAGGAATTACCATGTTTCAAAAACAGAACGTGTACAACTTCAGATTCGATTATTTAATTAAATTAAAAGCACTAATTCAAGCAAAGTTTGGAATAACTATGTACTTTTAAAACTAAGTAAATTTCTAAATACGTTATTCCAAAATTCGCTTGAAAATGAAACAGAACTAGTGCTTTTAATTTAATTAAATAATCGAATTTGAAGTTGTACACTTTCTGTTTTTGAAACATGGTAATTCCTGTGTAGCGAAGGGACCATATTTTTAAATCAGTTAATTTATAGTATATATATATTTCGTAAAATACATCTATTGGATGCTTTGGTACACATCATCAGTGATGTTTCTAGTCGTTCTAACCGAAGTTCATTAGGGGCTTAGGGTCTTTCAACATCATACACCCTCTCCACGATGACGCAGCCGAGACTGATCGGGTATCGACTTGTGTACCTTCCGCTAGCTACAATTTTTTACATCCACCAAGCTACACACTGCGACTCCTCTTGACAATTTATGGTCCAATCCGAGACAATTTCCGGTTCACTAGTAATGTGCGCTCTTCCATAAAAAAGGAAGCAAACGCAAGCACAGTTTCTATCTGGTAAGGAACATGGCAGCGTGCTCGACTTGAAGTGGTAAGTAACGATTTGTTTCCCTCACTGAAACATATACACATGCATGTATACACACGAAAACGCGCCCAAGAATCACATTATGCTTACACTTATTCGATATATAAATCCAAAGGGGCGCCTCGATGTGATGTAATGGTTAGTAAGCTTGTCTCGCTAGAACAATTGCAACTGAGTAGTGAGTTCGATCCTTACTGAGTGCCCCATACTTTCGGCCTTGTGTCGCATCTGAGGTACGCTTGGAAAATCACTGCATGAATCCAAGGAGAGCTCAATGTAAGTAACAGAGCAATAAAATAATAATAATAAGTAAAGACAATCTTTAAAAATCCATTTCGGTTATAATTTATTTCATCAATATATTCAATATATACTTAATATATTAATATGAAGTAATATATTAATATATATCCAATATATAAATATATATGAATATATTAAATATATATATTTTATATTTTAATATATAGAAATATATATTAATATATATTCCATATATAAATATATATGAATATATTCAATATATATTTGAAGATATTCATGAAATAAATTATAACCGAAATGGATTTTATGATTCTTTTAATTATATATATATTTCCTTTTAATTATATATATATATATATATATATATATATATATATATATATAATTAAAAGGCAATATAAATATATATATATATATATATATATATATATATATATATATATATGTGTGTGTGTGTGTGTGTGTGTATTATTTTATATAAGAAGAAAATGAGTAATCACCGACACCGAGCGGTTCGAGTGTCACACTCTGGACTTCTGAACATATGTTTTCCGTCAGGTGTATAAATAGCGGTGTCAGGCTACTGACTGCAGTGATTATTGAGTGACTATTGAGCGGAACTATCCAGTCGAATTAGTGTGAATTATTGTGCGTCAATTTCGGTTTTGATTTAGGATTTACCGGACGTTATGCCGAGCCGCGCTACTAAAAAGGTATTCACTGAAATGGTTAATAATCTTTGGTTGACTTTTACTTCTTTGTTAAGTATTTATTTGCGTTTGTAATTAAATACTGTTTTATTTTAACATTGAAGTATTGAGTTTTACAAAATTATTAACGGCCACCGTACGCCACAAAAATTATGAAACTGATTAAGTCTGACAATTATTTTAATATATTTTCGGTTTATACCTTATTTTTATAGATATAATTTATTTAAGTAAATGCTCTGTTTTGTTTTTAATTAAACATCATTAATTACATTTATCGGCCTGAATGTTCGAGAAATGTTGTAGAAAAAATGCGCTCTTCGAGAGGAATCGAACCTATAACCTTTATGGGAAACGTCATTTGACCTGAGGTGCTGTTCCACCACATAGAAACGTTTTGTTAACAAAGTCTGAATTACTGTTTATAAACACACACCTTCGACGATTGTTCTCGATAGATCATTTCTACCCACGAAACATATCTTAACGTAAACAATGATAACATAGCATGAAATGGATTAAATCCGACAATTATTTAATATATTTATTTAAAAATATGATTCCAACGCTACATAAGAGTTCTTATGTTTCGAAACAAGAGCCTAAAATTTCAATAGAATTATTTGAATCAGACTGAAACTAAGCCCTGCTCCATCTTCAAGCGAAATATTTTTAGGAATAACTTATTCCTGAAATTTACGCGTTTTATAAGCATATTCATTATTGAAATTAAAATTACTATGGTAATGGCTAGAGCAATTGTTTAAAGAAAAGAGGTGTAAGGGTTAATAATTTGCATCAATATCTCAGTTACATTCAAAGACGTCAAGTATATATATATATATATATATATATATATATATATATATATATATATATATATATATATATATATATATATATGGTGTAAAAAAATCGGAATGAGAAATCGGTCACGAGTTCGAATTCCAGTTGAGTTCGTTGTATTCATTTATACGT